ACAGTTTGGAAACACTGGGCTTTAGCAGAAGAATTGCAAACGGAGGCTGCTCTTTTCCCCGGTTGAGGGGTCCTGGCTCCAACCCCCCATCACTGCCTTTTCCTGCACACCTTGTTGGAAGCATTCCGAGCTGGAACATGGGCTGGAAGAGAGAAGGAGTCCAGAGTGTAGCAGGGACATGTACGTAGGAGGTCTCTGGACTGGTTGAGGGGTCCCCAGGGGGTGGCTGCAGGACATAAGGCAACATCCAGGTTGTGGAGGGCCTCTCGCTGTGTGGGGGCCTCACCCTGAGAGCCCAGATTTCAACAGGGTAGAGGCGTAGCTGCGTTTGTCTGGGAGGCTGCTTGGTGCAGGATGAACTTGGGTTGGGGCACTGGGAGCTGAAAGTCCAGTGAGGGGCCCAGGCTGCGTGCAGAGAGCATTAGGGGCTTCCTGTGGGCCAGGCGTGGTGGGAAAAGGCTGACCACCCTCCCACATCCGAGAGAGGGCTTATCAGCCTAGTTGTCAGGAGCCGACTGGAGTGTGAGCTGACTGGCTGTGTGGGCAAGGAGGGTCTCGAGACATAGAACCTCATGAAGGTTCTTCTAGGGACATGACCCTGGGCCTTCTTAAAGGTCTGAGAGCCCGTGTTCTTGGCCATATTGGTTGAAGCAGCCTGACTACCTGCCCTGCTGACCTGGTTTAGCCGATCACTCCCTGAGGCTCCATGGTTAGCAAGGTCCACAGTAACAGGGACTCACGGTGCCCTGGGGGAACTGCCTCAGAACCTCTGGTTCTTCCCCACTGAAGACCAGACAGTAGAACCAACCTCCCTCCCTCCCTCCTCCCTCCCTCCCTCCCTCCCTCCCTCCCTCCATCCCTTCTTCCCGCCTGTCTGCCTACCTGCCGGTCGTCTCTATCTGTTATCTATCTATCTATCTATCTATCTATCTATCTATCTATCTATCAATCTATCATATTTCCTTTTCCCCCTGTATTGTCTACACTTGTGACTACATTATCCATCCGCCCATGCATCCTCCATCGTCCATCTTTCCTTCTTTCCTCTATTGTCTATGTCTGTTGTGTCCACATTACATGTAGTGGCATGAACCCACCACCCCACCTGGGTACTCAGCTACAGTAGAGAGAGACGTATGTGTGCTTCTCCCCTATCCCTTGCCCTCTGCCTCTTGATGTAACCACTAATATGAATTTTGCATTTACTATTCCCTTATTTTTAAGAATATTTTTATCACATATCTATGTATGTCTAAACAGTCTATTGTTTACTTTTAGTCACTTAAGGATTTTATAATAGAGTAATTTTCTCTGTGTCATCTCGTAGGATTTGCTTTTCATCACTCAATATTATAAGATAGCCACATTATCTGGTTAATTCATCAGTTCATCTATGTATCCAATCGCATTTATTGAACGCACAGCCATGTTTGGGGCTTCTGTTCCTCCTGGGGCTTCAGGGGAGGGCCCCACGTGGAAGTAGAGAGAGGAAGCTTCCTACAATTGATCTGGCCAGTCTCCCGGACCCTTTTCCTGCTGGAAAAGCGGACAGCACTCATCTGCGGTCCAGAGGTCATTACCATCTGCTGGTTATAGTGGGAGTCCCCTTTGGGACCTTGACATGCCTTCCTTGAGCCCTGCTCTCTCTCTGTAGCAGTTGGTGTGGGCTGTGGTCGAGTGGGGATTCATGCCAAGCTGGGCAATGTGCGGCCCTTTCACTGACTGTGCTCACCCTGTTGACTATGGTGGTGCCTGCTGTAGCCTGGGTGCCTGCCATGCAGTGCTGTGCGATCCTGCCTCACTGCTCAAGACAGGTGGCTGCCTGATGGCCAGTCATGCCTCAGTTCTAGTCCTACGTGGTGGGGAAGTGTGAGTTCTCCTGCGCGGCCCTGGAGCGGAAAGAGGTGGAGCAGGCTGTCCTGGATGCTGGCGTTGGCGTCAAGCAACGACCCCCATGCCTACTTTATTACCAGTGCTGCCAACATAGGGGTCTGCTTCACTGTTGCCCACAAGAGGCCTGGGCCCTGAGTCAGGAGGGCCAGTCAGAGTTCTGGCCAGGCATGGAGGCCTTGGCCCATCTCTCTGCTAGAGAGGAGTTAGGAGTGGGTGATGTCTAACAGTTCCTGCTTTCAACACTAACATTCCATCATCTGAAATTCTGAGATTTAAGCATACTTGTTTTAGAATTCTAAGTTTCCAACATACCTAGCTCGGGGGTCGCAGGAGCAGAATACTCCATTTTCTACTACACTAAGCCTGACCGCTATCTGCAGATGCTACCTGACGCCCACGCGACCGCTGAGCACCCAGCGGCATGGTTTCAGCCTTTACCCAGTATGTTTAAGACAAGGAAGCCTCTAGAACAGTGGTTCTCAACCTTCCTAATGCCAAGGCCCTTTAATACAGTTCCTCATGTTGCGGTGAACCCCAACCACAAAATTATTTCCATTGCTACTTCATAACTGTGATTTTGCTACTGTTATGTCTTAGGAGACCCCTGTGAAAGGGTCGTTCAACCCCCAAAGGGGTCGCGACCCACAGGTTGAGAACTGGGTAGACTCTAGAGCAGCGGTTCTCAACCTGTGGGTCGCGACCCCTTTGGGAGTCAAACGACCCTTTCACAGGGATTGCCTAAGACATAACAGTAACAAAATCACAGTTATGAAGTAGCAACGACAATAATTTTATGGTTGGGGGTCACCGCAACATGAGGAACTGTATTAAAGGGTCACGGCATTAGGAAGGTTGAGAACTTTCTAGACAGTGGAGTATTGGTAAATTTTCACAACCAGCTCTAAAAAGAAAAAGGTGAAAATATAAAATAAGTAGATGGATATATGATTTATGGCATTTGAGGATTTCAAAGGAAATACATAAGGTATTTGAGGATTTCAAATTCTCAGTGGTTTAACAACTGGCCCACAAAATTCCGAAAAATTTAACAATTGGCCGAGCATACCATTACCTCCAGACTGGGGTTGACAGAATTAGCAAATAAAAATACAGCGTTTCCAGTTAAAATAAATTTTTAGATAAAATTAGATTTCAGATAAAATAATTTTTTAAAAACATAAGCGTGTCCCCAAAATTGCATAGGAAAGACTTATCCTAAACAAGTATTAGTTGTTTATCTGAAATTCAGCTTTAACTGGGTGTCATTATTACACATCCATAGAGAGTACGTGTAGCTGGAACACCAGATGCTCAGGTCGGAGGACTGTTCTGCAGCTCTGCCTTCCTCTCCCTACGTCATGTGTCCCAGCGCTCAGTGTCCCGAGGAGGCTTCTCAAAGAGCCATCGCAAGGGAGGGGGGCAGACGCCGAGAGATTATAAAGTGACCTGTGGCGATACAGTGATTTCCTCAGGAGCCTGAGTAGTGTGGTACCCTTGCTTCCCAAATACGATTGCAAGAGGATTCTAGACGAATGCACACCTTTCCGGTTATGTATGTGTTTTCATGTGTATTAGAGATTTAACAAGCACACCCAACATGTGATTTTGTGAATGTTACTGCCTGGAAGCATTTTCCTTTTAAAATAAATGTAAAAAAATATATATATATGCTTATTTATTTTTTTAATAATTCATAAGTAACAGTATAGGTGTTATGAGCTGAATTGAGTCCCCCCCAAACCCATATGTTGAAGTCCTAAACTCCTACCTCCGAATGTGGCTCTATTTGGAGATAGAGCCTTTAAAGTGGCATATAAATTAAAATGAGACCATTAGGGTGGGTCCTAATCCAGTATGTCTGGTGTCCGTTGAAGAAGAGGCGATCAGGACCTCCACCTGCACAGAGGGGAGACCATGTGAGGACACAGGGAGATGGCCACCATCTACGAGCCAAGGGGAGAAGCCTCAGAAGATTCCAGACTTGCCAACACCTTGATTTGGGACCCATAACCTCCAGAATTGGGAAGAAATATATTTCTGTTGCTGAAACCACTCATGCTGCACAGCGGCACGCGCACACTGACACACTAGGTGGTGTGCAGACGGGCCCAGATTGTGAAGGCGGTCTCCAGGTCACTGAGTTTGAAGGAGCTGGTACCGGGCAAAGGCATGGGTTTGGCTGGAATCCAGCTTTGCCAGTTCCCAGCTGTGTGACCTTCAGCAAAATGGAAACCTTTTTTTTTTTTTTCATCCTCACCTGAGGACATTTTTCCATTTTTTGTACAGATAGAGTGGGAGGGAGAGAGAGGAAGAGAGAGAGAGAGAGAGAGAAACATCGATGTGAAAGGGACACATCGAGTGGCTGCCACCCCCACGACCAACCAGGGCCGGGGACAAACTGCAACCGAGATACATGCCCTTAGCGGAAACCGAACCCGGGTCTCTCCGGACCAAAGGCGGACGCTCTAACCGCTGAGCCAAACCGGCCAGGGCAAAATGGAAACCTTTTTGAATCTCAGCGTCTCATTTTGAAGAGGGGAGCCAACAGCAACCGCCTCACCTAGAAGTTGCAGGATCAAGATGGGATAATGTGTGCAAACTGCTTGGTGCTCAATGACTATCGGCCTCTTTTTGGGAAAACCGGCACCAAACGGGGGAGGATTTGTCCTTGCATTTCAGCGCTGAGCAGGCAGAGCCCTGGGCTTCTGTGCCCTGCAGTCCAGCCCAGACAAGGTCGGTCGGCCTCAGTGACCCCGGCGGACCTCTGCGGGCCACCTGGCTGGAGGTTGACCACCCCCAGGATCAAGGAGGCAGGCATCCTCCCCATTTCTCGCCTTGGGAAATGGAGCCGCAGACTGGAGCAACGACTGGCTCTAGGCCTCTCGGGTGACGGGGCCCGGCCCCGGGCTTGCCCTGGGCTCCGGTCCCGGGGGCGGCGCCTCCCACTCGCAGCCCGAGTTTAAGGACGCCCCGCCCCTTCCCGCCGGGCTCCCGGGAAGGGGCGGAGCCTCCGGCGCGGCGGGCACGTCGCCACGGCAACGCGGCCTTACTGGCGGAGCGACCCGGGCCTGGGGCTTCGGGCCGGGCCTCGCGGGCAGCGCCGCGGCATGGACAGCCTGTTCGTGGAGGAGGTGGCCGCCTCGCTGGTCCGCGAGTTCCTCAGCAGGAAGGTACGTGCCCCGCCGCAGCCCGGGCCGTCGTGCTGAGTTAGGGGCGCACGGGGGCCTCCCTGCCACCTCTGCACCTTCGGGGAGGCGGCCTTCCGCTGCCCGTGGCCTGCCCCGGGACGCCCGGCAGAGGCGCCACTCTCCAGGCCGGGGTGGGGGACTACACTTCCCAGGAGCCCCTGTCCCCGCACGTCCCGCAGCCTGGTCCCCTCCGCCCTGGCGCTGGTCTCCATGACAACCCACCCCCGGCTTCCATCCCGCCCGGAGGAACTGCCCCCAAAGGGAGCCCCAAAGGCTGCAAAAGTTCTTGGCATTCAGACCCTCCAGTTCACGGTCATCACGAGTTGAGTCGTCGCAGCGGGTTTGGTTTTAAGTTCTGTTGTCTGGTCCCAGAAGAGTTTTCGGAGCCCTGGAAGGTCGGGGAGGTCCTTAGCTCTCCTCTGCCCTGTCCGCGGAGGCCCGGGCACCCCGGGCGAGAGGTGCTGGGGGTCCGGGCGAATGGGAGCGCAGGGGCCGCACAAAGTGAGGGAAGGCTGGCCACCTGCCATGCGTTTTGGGTCCTCCTGGTGTCAGGCGGGGCGTGGGCGCTTGTCTGGGATTACCCCCCCCCCCACACACACACACCAAACCGTGTTTTGAGTGGAGGAAAGGGGAAGAGCCTGGAGTCGGAGAAGGTCCGGTACCCACTACTACGAGCTAGCTGTGAGCTTGGGTGCTGCTCACTGCCTCGGTTTTCTTACCTGTGAAACAGGAGTCAGAAGACGTACCCTTGCCAGGCTTGTAATGAGGATGAATGATAATACAGGGGCAGCTCCCAAGCATTGTCCGGGGCACATAGTAGGTATTCAATATGGTCTCCTCCCCATCTCTGATGTGCACTTGTTTTGAAAGTCTTCGTTTTCTTTTTAAACATGTATTTTTATTTAAAAATTTTTTTTAAAGGCATGTGGCTTCATTGTATCTGCTCTGTTTTTATGGCCAATTGATTTTCCATCACCAAGTTCTGGCCAGACTTTGGATATCAGTGACAAACCCTGTGAGGCTGACCACGGCCGTCATTTGAAAGAAATCTGGCCACCAAGCAAAACTCGCAGTTTTCGTCACGCCTTTTCTTTCTTCGGTACAAATGAATTCCAGAGTCCGCACCTGGTATCCAAGGCTCCTCTTGACCTCAGCCTACCACCCCAATCTCATTTCCATCTTCTTCCACATGCTTTTTCCCTGTTCCACCCAAGTCCCATTTCCTGCAAGAGGTCTTCTCAGGCAGGTCCAGTTGGAATGACTGGCTCATTTTGTCTGGGTCGCTCACTGACGCTCATGTTATAGTTTGTACCTTTGCCTTTCTCCCTTGCCAGATACAGCCACAGAGCCAACACCTGAACTGGGGGGAAGCTTGACAGTCATCTGATTCACCTGGCCTCTTCACCCTCCCATTTTTTTTTTTTTTTAAAATCTGGGCACCTAAGGTCCTGAGAGGAGAAAGAAGTTGCCCAGAGTCACTCGGAAAGTCTGTGGGAGCTGGGAGCGGCCCAGGTTGACTGTTGCTCTTGTCCTCTTCTGCTCTGGGGCAGAGACCACGTACCCCCACAGGGCTTGGCACACGGCAGGCACAGCAGTTATAACCAAGAGAATTCCCATCGTGGTTCGAGGTACCTTCTAGGTGCCTGTTTGTTTTCTCAAATCTTTACAACAGTCCTGAAAGACAGGTATAAGTACTCCCTTTCCTGTAAGACTATCATGAAAGTGGGAGGTGAGGAAACTTGCCCAGAGCGAGCAGGTCAGATTATGTTACTCCTCTGCTCAAAACCCAGCTTCCTGTTATAAGTAGAATGAAATCCAAGTGAAGGTCTCACCAGGGCCTACAGGCTGTCTACGATCTGGCTCCCCACTGTCCCTCAGACCTTATCCTTGACCCTGCATGGTACCCAGCTACATGGGCCTTGAACTCACCAAGCGTGACCTCCTCAGGGAGAGTCATGAGTCTCCTGGCGATGTCAGGATCCATGGAGGTGATTCTCCTGGTGGCCCCACCCTCCCAGATCCATGGCCCCTCTCCTGCAGTGACCAGCCCCATCCTACCTCTGCCACCCTGTCCCGAGGCCCTGCCCTAGGTTGGTCATTGCCAGTACTGCCCCTTTCCATAATCTCAGTTCCAAGTACCTCATCATCCTTACTGCCAGCTCACCCCCCACCCAGTGGTCCAACATAAACTCTCCATCCTCACTCACCTCTCTGTTTCTGTTCCTGCCGCCTTGTCACAGCCCCTCAGTCCTATCGAATGTGAGCCCCATGAGGGCCAGGACTCTGATCTGTTCCCTCGCCTCCAGCAGCTGCACTAGTAGGCTAGTGAGTGGGTCATTCCCTTTATTGCATAGATGGGAAATCAGAAGACAGGAGTGAGCACGTGGATGCTGCTCAGTAAGTAGCTGACTACCTAAAATTGTGTCCTTCATCTTTGTCTCCACTCTCCCTGTTTTGTCTCCATAGTAGCACGTATTTGTAGCTGCCACACTGTAAATGTACCCTTGTTTATGGCCTGCTTCCTCATCAGAATGTCAGCTCCATGGAGGGTGGGGAACCCGGTCATTTTCCTTCTGTACTTCCTGCATCTAGAACAGCCTGGCACATAGTAGGCGCATGACAAATGTTGGTTGAGTGAATGGAGATTAAGTGAGCTGGACGGGACTGAGGGCTGGCTGATTCCTGAGGGTGCCCTTGTCCACCACCCCAGTGATTTCCAAGTGCCAGTGTGCACCGCACTCCTGGAGAGTTTGGTAAATGTGCCGAGACTCGCTGATCCGCACCGTTGACCAGCTCTTATCCAGCAGAGCAGGGCGCTCACTACAGAGGTTTCCTCATCACTTTAATGGGTGGCAAAGCCATGGTTAAGCCCAGATGAGATGCTGGTGCTTGCTCTCGGGTCTCACCTTTTCTAGTTGACTCTCTCTACTGCTCTCAGGCATGTCCCTACCTTTTCCCAACACATACACCCCTTTCTTTCTGTTCCCCCCTCCCTAAGCCTTTCTTTTTGTTCTCTTTGGTTCAAGGTTGTATTCTTCTTGTTTCACAAATTCTTCTTGCCTCTATTCATGGCTGACAACAGGTTTGTCTTGTTGTCCCAGCAGCAAGAGCCTCTGCAAAATTCTGAACACAAAGGCTAGGGGAGAAGTTGAGGCCTGTTTAGTACTGAGGTCTGGATCCTTCAGAGCAGAGGGCTCCCTTTATGCCAGGCTGAGCTGTTTGCGAGGCATCCTTGCCTCGTCCTCCAGCATTCGGGCGTCAGCGTGGCCTGGTGAGGTGGGCAGCCAAAACTGCTGTGGTTGTCTTTAAAATGAAGAAGCCAGGCCCTGGGGGAACAGTACTTCCCGTTGTCAGAGTGTGTCTTACTGGGCCTCGGGGAGTTCAAGTCTGGATGGTGGAAGTGGCTTCCTGTGGACCTGGGTCCCAGCATCGCTGACTCACAGGCTGTGCTCATCACAAGCCCTGCTCGGTGGCTCCACTGTGTTACCTGGGGTGAGTCGACCCTGGCTCCCCCGCTGAGAAAAGAAGGGAATGAATATTGGCCTTTTGTTTATGTTTGTCCTTTTGTTTGCTTTTAAAGTTTCATATTCTGCAGCTTCCAAATGAGGGCCAAACCCAGGGCTCCTGAGCCAGCTTTGGGTGAATCAGTTACCTGAGTTTCTCCTTCCTTTTCTACAAAACGGTCCGACCACACCAGCCTTACTTTGCTCAGCCCGTTGTGAGATTCAGAATAGTAACTGTGAAGATGAAGTCGAGTGTAAAGGTTATATTAAAAACACCTTCTTGCTCAATTGGCGTGGCTCAGTGGATTGAGCGTCGTCCCATGGACTGAGAGGTCCCAGTTCGATTCCTAGTCAGGGCACATGCCTGGGTTGCAGGCTCCATCCCCAGTAGGGGGCGTGCAGGAGGCAGCTGATTGATGTTTCTCTCTCACATCAATGTTTCTATCTCTCTCTCCCTTCCTCTCTCTCTAAAAATTCAATGAAAACTTATATGAAAACTGTCAGTGTTTGGTCTTTGCAGTATCCTGGTGAGGAAGGCAGGATAAGAATGATCATAACAAACACGAGCAGTCTGCTGTTTACACGCCACAGCGAGAACGGAGGGTTTTGATTGAAAATGGAAAATGATGATTCAGATTTCTCCCCCCAGGGCTTGAAGAAGACATGTGTGACCATGGACCAGGAGCGCCCACGCTCCGATCTCAGCATCAACAGCAGGAACAATCTCCGCAAGGTTTTGCATCTTGAATTTCTCTACAAGGAGAACAAGGTATATGCTTTTAACATGTGGCGTGATGTTCTGGAACTGAGCTTGGCAGTGTCAAAGCATGCATGGGCCCTGCCAGGCCATCAGAGCTGGGAAGCAGGAGGTGACCACACCTGCGGTCCAGGAGAAAGAGACCCAACTGAGTGCTGACAAGTCCCAAGTGCGAGCCAGGTTTCCAGCCTCCATCAGGCCCCTGGGCCGCCCCATGAACATACTGCACATGCCCAGCTCTGAGGCTCATGTTGACCCGAATCTGTAACAGTTATTCCCTGTGCTCCCGCCTCCCCCATGAGGCTATTTTTAGTCAGACTTTACTCAAGAGTATAGTATGCAGTTATACCAGAAATTTCCATGCCCTGCCTAAGATTGTCCTTCTTCAGTTCTGAGTAATACCTTACTCTCTAATTCAGGCGTTGGAGTTGAGAATGGGTGGGAGCGGGTGGGGTTTCCCTGATCCCCTGGCCTCGGCCTCCTTGACCGGCTTACACGGCACCCTGTTGTCCGTGGTTGTGCTTGTCGAGGTTATAACAGAGTTCGCGTGTGGCGGATTAGTATCTGCCTCCCCTACCACCTTGAACAAGGCTGGAGGACAGAGGTGACATCTGTCTTGTTCACTATTGCTTCTCCATGCTTACCGAGTTGCCTGATGATGTAGTAAACAGTCAATATGTATTTCTGGATTATGTGACTGACTAAATGAATGAATGTACGGATGAGCGAAGCTACCATTCTGATGCAATTGCTCTTCTGTTATGAAGACAGGGTCTTCTCATTGGACTTCAGAACGGGCTCTCCAGCAGATGTTGCCTTGTGGTGGGGCACGGTACCAGAGTTGGAAAGAGTCTGATGATCATGTAGTTTAGCGTTTGTCACACTTTTTTAAAAAAGGCAGTAAAATGGTATCTCCTGCAGAAGTGCAGTGTGGAAAACAAAAAAAACTGGAAGCAGTCCTGACTGAAGGGGACGTGACGAGATCCTGCCTTCCTGGCCTTCTGGGGCGGCCTTGAGGGCTGAGCGGAGCTTTTAAACCGCTGATAGAGTGGGGACCCCACCCCAAGCCGTGCGCTGGGGAAACGCCCCTTGTCGAGGCTCACAGTCAGTCACCCGGCGCGAGTCAGTCACCAGGTCTTCTGGTTCCAGCCCATCTAGTAATGGCCGTCAGGCTTCCTTTACCTGGAACCCTTTTGCAAATGAAATCTTACACTGGGATGCTGTGGGGCTGGGGCACCCTCCGAAGCTGTTTCTGAGATACCCGAAGTAACCTCGGAAAAGCTTGGAAACCTCCCTTGTGCTCGTACCGCATAGCTCAGGGAGGAGCTTGGGCCAGGGGTCCCGCCATGAAGTGAAGAATGTCAAGCAGACCTGTAAACCACAGCCAGCTGGTGTCACCCCACAGGAACACTCAGGAGGCCGGAAGGTCCTTGCTCCACGCGGAGGAGAGAGGGCGGGGCAGCCAGGAGAGGTCCCGTGAGAGGCTCTGTAAAGACATCAGATGGATGCCCCTTGTCCTCTGGGTCCTGGGTGACGCTCGGGCCCCCGTCTCCTGTATGCATGCGGCTGAAGTCCTGCAGAAAGAAGATACTGACTCAGGCAGCAGATACCAGAAACCCTCCATCTGCTGCATTTTAAGGCAGGAGAGTGGACTATACATTTTAGAAAGATTTTTCCACAGGGAGTGAGAAGTTAACCAGGAAATTCAGTGAGCCATTCCAGGGCCGTGGGGTTTAAGTAAATGCCCCTGGCCTGGCTGGTGTGGCTCAGTGGCTGAGCATCGGCCCTGCACCACGTGGTCGCCAGGTTGTTTCCCGGTCAGGGCGCGTGCCCAGGTTGTGGGTCCAGTCCCCAGTGGGGCATGCAGGAGGCAGCCAATCGATATTCTCTTTCATCGACATTTCTATCTCTCTCTCCCTCTCTCTAAAAATCAATAAAGAAAAAAAAATTAAAGTAAATGCCCCTTTACCCAATTTTTTAGTAGTATCTTTGCCATTCAAGTTATTTTTATTTCTTCACTATAGTATAGTCTCCCTAAGGTAACTATTGTTTTAAGATACTTAAGATATTTTCAGTAGATCTTGGTAAGTACCCTGATTATTTGATTTATACAGTAATTATTACCTGTTATACAATGAATTGGAGCTTATATTTTACAGAAATATGCTTATTAATCTATCTATTGTATAATGACGTTGACATTCACACAGCTAGCATGATTCTAGGGACGCCCAGCCGTTTAATGTTAATTCCAGTAACTTGTCTTTCCCTATTAAGTATACAATACATAAAAATGCCTGTATAAAACTGAGGTTTTGAAAAGTAGTGTCTAGATTCATATAACAGCTGTGTCTATTATGAGCAAAGTGATATGAAAAGCCATAAAGTATAAATCAGTTAATCCAGGGCCCTAAATCTCTTGTATTGAAAGAAAAAGCGAGAGGCTGAAATAAAGTATATTTCTTTCCCCTGACTCGCTTTATTGTAAGTTTTATTTAGACTTAGACAAATATTTTTGGGGGGTCCCATAAAAAAATAAAATTGTCCCCTGATTTTGACTGCCTGATAAATCTGTTGAATTCAGCCCTAACCCGTTTGGCTGTGGGTCTTGGTCCCAGAGTTCTGCGTAATCGGAAGGGGCACGGACTGGATGTGCCCAAGGGTTCCCCCGTGCCAGGCTCTCCATCAGGGGCTTTATTGCTCTGAATGCAAAATGCCCCACAGAATGCCCCATGTCTGGCTGCACTTCCCAAGGGCCTGGTGTTCCGGGCACGTGGTGTGGGGACCGACACAGTGACGTGGCCCGGTTCCTGAGGCCAGCTGTGGACCACTGCTTGGATAACTGTCTGTCCACATTACTTAGGGGAATTTAAAAAGAAATCAGGGCTCCAATCTTTGTGATTTTGACTTAGTAAGACTCAGTGGGGCCTGGGAATATGTATTTTTAAAAATATTTGGTGCAGTCAGGGTTAGGAAATACTGATTTTATTTATTGCTAAACCCAACTACTGAAGGGTCTCAATGTATCTTTTTATTTTTTTAACATTGGGATGTAAACTGAGTCAACCCTGACTGCCTCTCTATGCTCTTTGCATGAACCTGCTGCTGTATTGTCCGATAGTCCCCAGAGTCCAAGGTCAGATGCAGAGTGTACAGAGAATATTCCGGCCCTAAATGTTTACTAGTTGTGCAGTTAGCAATCCCTAAAGGCTTAACTTTTTTAAATGAAAGGCTATATATTTTATAGTTATTGTTAGGAGAAAAAAACAAGAGGAAATTTGAAATGAAACTGAATTGCCTGGCTTATGCAATGGATGTTAGTTCTTTTAGGGTAGAGATTTTTGTCTTCATCTTTGTCATAATCCAGTTCTTCAGATACAAAAACAGGCAGTTGTGAAAGAATGTATGACTGAGAAGTTGATAAACTTATGTGAAAGAATTAGAATATACATCTTTTTGACCATTCCTCTGAAGCTGTACATGTGATTAATGATATTTTTTCTTCCACTGATAGGCAAAGGAAAATCCTCTAAAAACAAACCTTGAGCTCATTACCAGATACTTTCTGGATCACTTTGAAAATACTGCTAACAGTTTTACTCAAGAGACACCAATGCCTGCACTCTCACTTCAAAAGAAAAGTAACAAATTACCAGTGAGATGCTCGGAGACCACACTGGTAAATATATATGATCTTGCAGATGAAGATGCGGCATGGAGAACATCACTGTCAGAAATGAGCAAAGCCAGGTATCTCTTCTATTTATACTATGGATTAGTTTTCTTTGCTGCTGTAACGAATTACTGTAAACTCAGTGGCTGTAACAAAGTTCTCCAGAGAAGCAGAATCAATAGGAACCAAGAGGATGCACGTGTGTGTGTGTGTGTGTGTGTGTATAAAGACATTCATTAGCTCATGGATTGTGGGGCTGGCAAGTCTGAAATCTGTAGACTGGCATGCTGGCAACTCAGGCAGGATTTCTGTGTCACAGTCTTAAGGTAGATTACTTCTTCTCTGGGGAACCTTAGCTTTCACTCTTAAGGTCTTCAAGTGATTAAATGAAGCCCACCCATATTATCTAGGACAGTCTCCTTTATATCAACTGACTATAGATGTTAATCACATCTACATGAAGGTAAAAAATACCTTCATGGCAATATGTATGCTAGTATTTGACCAAACAACTGGGCACTGTAGCCTAGCCAAGTTGACATATAAAATTTGACCATTGTGGTCTCTTAAATCAACACAGATTTTGTTATCTTGTAGTCCTGGAGGGCAGAAGTCCAGAATTGGTCTCACTGGGTTAATGGCAAGGTGTCAGTAGGACTTGTTCCCTCTGAGGCTTAGGGGGAGAATCTGTTTCCTCTCCCTTTTTTAGCTTCTAGTGGCCACCTACATTCCTCGGCTTGTGGCCGCTTCCTCTGTCTTTTGGCGTATCACTCCAACCTCTGCTTCTCTCTTCACGTCTCCATCACTCCAACCTCTGCTCTGTCATCACGTCTCCATCGCTCCAACCTCTGCTCTGTCATCACATCTCCATCGCTCCAACCTCTGCTCTGTCATCACCTCTCCATCGCTCCAACCTCTGCTTCTTCATCACGTCTCCATCGCTCCAACCTCTGCTCTGTCATCACGTCTCCATCGCTCCAACCTCTGCTCTGTCATCACGTCTCCATCGCTCCAACCTCTGCTCTGTCATCACCTCTCCATCGCTCCAACCTCTGCTCTGTCATCACCTCTCCCGCTACCGACTCTGACCCTCCTGTCTCCCTACAAGGATGCTTGTGGTTCCACTGCGCCCGCCCAGATAATCTAGGTAATCTTCCTACCTTGAGATCTTTAACTTAACCACATTTGCAAAGTCCCTTTTCCATGTCAGGTAATGTATTCACCGATTCCAGGGGTCAGGATGCGGACATCTTTAGGGGGGCCATTGTGCAGCCTTCCACACCCTGTGCTTCCAGAATCCCTGTCGCGGAGCACAGGTGCTTTCCTCCAGAGGCCGTGGGGATGGACCACTCTGTGATGGAGGATGCTTATGATTTAAATTTGAAAGTCATAAGGGTTGGGCTTGTTTTGTTAACATTTTTTAAAAGGCAGCAAAACACTGGAGAAATGGAAAAATCTGAAAAATAAGGCCTTTAGGAACTCTTAGGAAGAAGTTGAATTGGCATTCTTTTAAAATCGTATTTATTTTTATTGATTTGAGAGAGAGAGCGAAACATCGATATGTTGCCTCCTACGTGTGACCTGACCAGGGATCAAACCTGCAACACTTTGGGTGCCGGGATGACGCCCCAACCAACAGAGCCCCCCGGCCGGGGTGAATGGCCCCCCAGCTGGGGTGAATGGCATTCTTGATTGAACCTCTGTTATTTGGAAGACTGTCCTGAGGTTACATTGCAACCTTTGCACGCTGGGTGTGATATCTGAGAGTGAGTCTCCCTTCTGGGAACGGGCTGTGGAACACACTTCCTTTCCCGAGGGGAGCCGAAGCTGAAGGTGTGGGCGTCAAGCTGCCGAAAGGTGAGGACCATTAAACAGTGAACTCAAGGCTTAAGAGGTGAAGGTTAATGAGGGTGGTATGAAGATGTTTCCTCCTTCACAGACTCCGCCTGGCTGGGAAATGAAATATTTCTGAAATGATGAAATAACTGCAATGCAGTAGTTGAAGCTCCTGAGTTCCACCCAGTTGTCCAAGCTCAGACTTGGGTGTTTTCCTTGTCTCCTCCTTGCCTATCAGTTTTGCGTCTTCGAGTCCTTAATGAGAGTAAACGCTTTCCTGCTTTCTTTGGAAGACTGGCTCCTCCCTGGTCTCCTGGGCTCCTCCCTGGTCTCCAGGGCTCCTCCCTGGTCTCCCGGGCTCCTCCTCCGTCTCCAGGGCTCCTCTCTGGTCTCCAGGCCTCCTCCCCGGTCTCCAGGGCTCCTCTCCGGTCTCCAGGCCTCCTCCCCGGTCTCCAGGGCTCCTCTCCGGTCTCCAGGGCTCCTCCCCGGTCTCCAGGCCTCCTCCCCGGTCTCCAGGCCTCCTCCCCGGTCTCCAGGCCTCCTCCTCGGTCTCCAGGGCTCCTCCCCGGTCTCCAGGGCTCCTCCCCGGTCTCCAGGGCTCCTCCCTGGTCTCCAGGGCTCTAGTGGTCTCCTCAATCCACCCTGATCTAAGGCAGTGTACGCTTTCCACAGGACCAGTCTGCCCTGCTCTTCTGCTGCTGAAGCTTTTAGGATAAAATCCAAGCTCCTCGGGCTACTTGCACACTCCGTTCTGTGGCCAGTGCCCACTGCTCACCAGGGCACGTGCTGCTGCCGCCCTTCTGCCACTGCCTGCTCTGGAAGCCATGGATTTCCCCGGGCTGGTCCCAGATCCTTCCTCTGCCTGACAGCCCCATCGTAGCCCACGTGACACCTCTCAGGCGTGACCCAGTGCTTGGGAAGCAGCAGGCATCAGTGCCCCTTTCTGCCAGAGTCCAGTGGTAGAAAACAGCCCAGCCCCTCGTCAGGACCGCTGGCTCTGCGTGGTCACAGGCCAGATTCCTCCTACCCGGGTCCCTGTCTCCTCATTCTTGCTCTTTCTCACTGTCTCTCACCCTCTGGTTCTCGTTCTCTCTCTCTCCCTCTCCCTCTCCCTCTGCCAAGCAACCCAGAAAATGAAACCATTGGCGTGCCTGACCTTACTGAACCTTAGCTGCACCTTTGGGGAAGGCCCACTTTGCCACAGTCTCTCCACCGCTCCTGTGGCGTGCAGTGACACTGGCCCCCACATGTCCCATGACCACATGGAAGGGGGCAGTTTTCCTTGATCGCTTGAGTGTGGAATAGGGATACCCTTTATGGTAGAGGATTTAATATACGGAGGAATCCTGTCATGGATAATCAACTCTGCTTTTGCTTCTTGTTTCCTGGTCTCATTTTGTAGGCCGGACTTGCCCTGATACGGAAGTGTTTTCTAGTCCTTACCTTTCATGACAAAGCACTGGGTGGCTGGAAATCACCACGGATTTGGGAATGGGCTTTGCTGTGAGTGCCTGTTGAATGTGGAATTTATTATCGTGGCTAGTGATTCCTTTTGAGGAATCTGTTTTAATGGAAATATTCCTTTTTTCGCAGACATGACCCTCTTGATGGCGATGTACTTGGTAATTTTGTATCATCCAAAAGGCCTCCCCAGAAAAGTAAGCCAGTGCAGCCGATCCCCACTGAAAGCCCCTCTGTGGTCCCTGTGTGGGAGAAGATGGACAAGCTCCAGTTGTCAGAGCCTTCCTTGGACACGAAGAGGGTGGGAGAGAAGATCAGGCCCAAGTCTGGCCTGATTGTCCGAGGCATGATGGCCGGGCCCACCGCCAGCTCCCCACAGGTTGTTGTTCCTTATGTTTTATGAGGGTGGAGAGTGTGAACCTGCCAGGGCGTAAGGGACTACCTGGGTTTGTTTGGGGGTACTCCACAAGACAACCCAAGAAGAGGGGATTTGAGTAGTGGGAATGGAAGAACACCTCCTCTGTTTTCTCGCTGGCTCTGCTGTCAGCTCCTATGGGAGCACGGACAGGCCTCATCTCCTTGTGGGCCCTCAGTTTACCCATTATGCAGTGAGGGGGATGTTGTGGTTTTCTATTGCTTTTCCAAGTGGGAACACATCTATCCAGCTTTGTCTTTACAGTTCGGGGGTGGGAAGACTCATACAAGTCTAGGGAACTTCCTTTTTATTTTTAAAAACATAGTTAAAAGGGAAAAAGAAACTCCAGTCTTTATAATTTCATTTGCTTTGATTGAAAAAATCATTCAGAATATTTATCATCAAGGAGGGTTCCATTAGGTGGGGAGACTAAACCAGATCAGAGAATGAATATAAAAGGAGTTTGCGAAACAACAAAGTAAAATGAAACACCAAAGTCAAAGTGTGGTATCAGACGAATCAGGAGCCTGAGTGAACCAAAAGCAGGTGCTGTGTGTCCTCAGTTGGTGTGCGCCGCCTCGGCTCTCAGGTGCTGCGTGGTTAGGTGTGGGCTGTGGCCGCAGGCGGTGGTACTGCAGGAAACCCTACTCACGGAGGAGCAGACCCTCTGCCTCTGCGATATCGGGAGATTTCGGACAACGTCTGTTTCTCTTGGCCGTGGTCTCATTTGTTAGACCAGGTGTTCAGATTGAGGGGGGTGTTGGTCTGCTCCCTTCTGCATGGTTCAGATCTCACCTTGACATTGTGTCCCCTCCTGGGTATTTTGTACTTGAAGAAGGCCACTCATAAGCTGGACCATGTCTGGAGGAAAGGAGCTAGGAAGGTGAAGAGTTTGGAGGAAATTGAAAGATTTGAGAATGTTTAATCTTAGAAGGAGAAGGCTTGTGGGAGGTGGGACAGAACGTTAAAGATTTCTTCACGTGTGGAGGTAGGAACAGCCTCGTCCCAGGATGGCAAATAATGTGGCTCTCATGCAACTCTTGGTGCCAAGCCTGTGGCGGACGCTGTTGCTGGTAGGAACAGCCTAGTCCCAGGATGGCAAATAACGTGGCTCTCACGTAACTCCTGATGCCAAGCCTGTGGCGGACGCTGCTGGTCTCAGTGCCCTGTTTCCTATGAAGCCTGAGTGTGATCTCAGGGCCTCCTGGGCATTGTGGGCCGTTACCCCAGGGGATGGACTGCAGTGGTGAGTGAGATGAACCTTGTGGGCCATTCTGAGTTTAGGCTGTGAGTCCCCGGAGAGCAGGGACTCTCCCACGTTTGAGCATAGATCATGGCGTGCGGCCCTTTGTTGGACTGAGCGGTGCAGACTTGCTTGGTGGCTCCAGAGCATGGCTAGGACCAGCAGGGGGAGGCTGGTCCGAGGAGCTGTCAGTCAGCCAGAGCCCCCTCGCAATGGCCGGGCCTTTTTCCAAGGAACTGGACTTGTTGTGCTAAGGCAAAGCCATGTGTCCCTTCTGCTGGGGACACAGTAGAAGGGCTTCTTGTCTGGTTGGGAGTTTAGACTATAGCAACAAGTCTTCAACTTTGTAGTCTTAAGGTCTCTTTACTCCTAAAATGACTGAGAAGCCCAAAAGCCTTTTTATGTGTGTTATGTCTGTTGACCTTTAGTGTATTAGTAATTAAAACTGAGAAATTAAAAAGATACTTGTTAAATCATTAAAAATAACAATAGCAAACCCATTACACTGAACACAAACAACATATTTAAAAAAACCCAATATTTTCCCAAACAAAAAATAGTGAGATGAGTAGCGTCATTTTACACTTTTGCGAATCCCTTCGGCGCCTGGCCCAGCAGAGGGCTGCGTGAGCTTCAGCCTTGCGTCTGAGTTCAGTCTGCTGGCCGGGGCTCCGCTGGAGATCTGACCTCAGGCAGTTGGACAGGCAACTGGAAGAGGAAAGTATTTTAACAGTCTCTTCAGAAAGCTAGGGTATTCTTTGATACTGTGCCCAAACTGGACTGGATGTAGTTCCTCAGTGTGGAATCTGAAACCGTACCAGTGAGCTTGCATCCGTTTCTGTAGGTCTGACTTGCACTGTGAATGAAAATTTTACCACTGGGTGGTGCAGTGACATGAGTCATTGGTCATTTGGAAAATATTGTTTTACTGAGTTTTCTTCCGAATATTGACACATTTCCTTATACAGAAACCAACCAACCAAACAAAACACACACACACACACACACACACCTCATTAAAAATAATCACACCTCTTGGTGTTACCGTCCGACCCGTCAGAACAGTTTTAACTATTGAGAAGCACTCAAGTTCACAGTAGCAGGTACAAGTTTCCCCAAATTGTAATTTTTAACTGAAAACTTGTATTTTTATCACTGACAACACATCATTTGTTTCCCTTGAAGTGACAGGCTCAATTTATTTTCGAGAAAGTACCGGCCAGATACCCAAGTCTGAATAACCAAAGTTGCTTGGTTCCATTGTTCCATAAAAAAAAAAAAAAAAAATAGCAGGTTCAGCTCACAGCTGAGACGTTTGCCAAGTGCTGTTCCTTGAGACAGTTGTCATTCTGGGTGTCTAGCAGAATGCTTCTACGCCTCCAGTTTCGTCACGTAGAATATTAAAGAGATGTGTACCACAGGGTCAAGATGGAGGAATATTAATGATGCTTATGCTTCGGCTGGGACACTACTGACATTCGCACTTTACGTAGCTATCTGTATCGCACTTTACGTAGCTATCTGTATCGCACTTTACGTAGCTATCTGTATCGCACTTTACGTAGCTATCTGTATCGCACTTTACGTAGCTATCTGTATCGCACTTTACGTAGCTATCTGTATCGCACTTTACGTAGCTATCTGTATCGCACTTTACGTAGCTATCTGTATCGCACTTTACGTAGCTATCTGTATCGCACTTTACGTAGCTATCTGTATCGCACTTTACGTAGCTATCTGTATCGCACTTTACGTAGCTATCTGTATCGCACTTTACGTAGCTATCTGTATCGCACTTTACGTAGCTATCTGTATCGCACTTTACGTAGCTATCTGTATCGCACTTTACGTAGCTATCTGTATCGCACGTGTGGCCAATGCCCAGGGTGCCGGCACAGTGTGCTGCTCCTGTCTGGGTCACTGCAAAGGACCAGCAGTGTTCACATCATCACTGCAATGTCAGCACAGCAAAAATGTCAGATCATTCCTGTTATTGTTAGGAAAATGGTTCTGAGCTCCCAAAAGGATCAGGACCACACCTGGAACAGTTTTACACCGGGGCCCTGTCTCACCATGGCGGTCTAATCATCAAGTCTGTGCAGTCAGACCCCTTCCTCACGGGTGAGGGGGGCAACTTGGATCTGCTTGACCGCCAAGAGATGCCCCACACCTCTCCTTTCAGTGGTCATTGTATGTGCTTTCCCCCAGGGGCTCCGCATCCCTGAAGGACACTGAAGGATGGGTTGTTGTAGAATGTCTCCAGGTTTTCTGGAAGGTGCTTCGTGGGCCTTTGAGTCCCTTGGCCATACTTACCGGCGGCCCACGAGAAAAGAGCAACCTTTGCTAGGTGTTTCATCAGTTTTCACAGTTACTGAATCAGCTCTGCACTTATGATGGATGAGTAAGAGGTTGGGCTACCCTCCCTCGGCCAGAGTTTGGGTCTCCTTGGGAATGGTGACTAATGCCCTTGCCCTGTGGCAGGGGATGCCCTGGGTGGCATTGGGAGGAGGTTTATGGTGCCCAGTCATTTCCGCTAGGCGAGAACACCACAGAATTAGCTGTTCTTATTCCAGTACCGCCTTTACCATTTGGCCCAGGATTATTTCTGGAAATGCCAAGAGGTCCAGGAAAAGCCTGGCAGGTGTATTTTTGTCGCTTTTTCCTACTCCCCGATCCTAGACGGGCAACAAGGTGACTTAACCATTTCATCAGTTAATCATGGAGAGTAAGAAAGGACATATCAGTTGACTCCTTTGGAACCCTACATTTAAAAGACTAAGCAAATCTTGGTGCTCACTAGGTATAGGTCACTGGGTCAGGAGCTCTGTGGACACCAGAGATGAATGAAAATGGCCTCTGCCACCCCTGGTCTGGCAGGAGGGGTAAGGCTGTTAAGTAAAAGCTGCACAGCAGTAGCTAATCGTGAACCGCTGTGATGGGTCTGGCTCTGCGCTGGTGCCTTCCATGGGGCTCTCGTTGAGTCCTCCCCACGATCCTGTGGAGATGATGCTGCAGGTCCCCTGAGTCCTCCCCACGACCCTGTGGAGATGAGTGTGCAGGTCCCCTGAGTCCTCCCCACGACCCTGTGGAGATGAGTGTGCAGGTCCCCGGAGTCCTCCCCACGACCCTGTGGAGATGATGCTGCAGGTCCCCTGAGTCCTCCCCACGACCCTGTGGAGATGAGTGTGCAGGTCCCCTGAGTCCTCCCCACGACTCTGTGGAGATGAGTGTGCAGGTCCCCTGAGTCCTCCCCACGACCCTGTGGAGATGAGTGTGCAGGTCCCTTGAGTCCTCCCCACGACCCTGTGGAGATGAGTGTGCAGGTCCCCTGAGTCCTCCCCACGACCCTGTGGAGATGATGCTGCAGGTCCCCTGAGTCCTCCCCACGACCCTGTGGAGATGAGTGTGCAGGTCCCCTGAGTCCTCCCCACGACCCTGTGGAGATGAGTGTGCAGGTCCCTTGAGTCCTCCCCACGACCCTGTGGAGATGATGCTGCAGGTCCCTTGAGTCCTCCCCACGACCCTGTGGAGATGAGTGTGCAGGTCCCCGGAGTCCTCCCCACGACTCTGTGGAGATGAGTGTGCAGGTCCCCTGAGTCCTCCCCACGACCCTGTGGAGATGAGTGTGCAGGTCCCTTGAGTCCTCCCCACGACCCTGTGGAGATGAGTGTGCAGGTCCCCTGAGTCCTCCCCACGACCCTGTGGAGATGATGCTGCAGGTCCCTTGAGTCCTCCCCACGACCCTGTGGAGATGAGTGTGCAGGTCCCCTGAGTCCTCCCCACGACCCTGTGGAGATGAGTGTGCAGGTCCCTTGAGTCCTCCCCACGACCCTGTGGAGATGATGCTGCAGGTCCCCTGAGTCCTCCCCACGACCCTGTGGAGATGAGTGTGCAGGTCCCTTGAGTCCTCCCCACGACCCTGTGGAGATGATGCTGCAGGTCCCCTGAGTCCTCCCCACGACCCTGTGGAGATGAGTGTGCAGGTCCCTTGAGTCCTCCCCACGACCCTGTGGAGATGAGTGTGCAGGTCCCCTGAGTCCTCCCCACGACCCTGTGGAGATGAATGTGCAGGTCCCTTGAGTCCTCCCCACGACCCTGTGGAGATGAGTGTGCAGGTCCCCTGAGTCCTCCCCACGACCCTGTGGAGATGAGTGTGCAGGTCCCTTGAGTCCTCCCCACGACCCTGTGGAGATGAGTGTGCAGGTCCCCTGAGTCCTCCCCACGACCCTGTGGAGATGAGTGTGCAGGTCCCTTGAGTCCTCCCCACGACCCTGTGGAGATGAGTGTGCAGGTCCCTTGAGTCCTCCCCACGACCCTGTGGAGATGAGTGTGCAGGTCCCCTGAGTCCTCCCCACGACCCTGTGGAGATGAGTGTGCAGGTCCCCTGAGTCCTCCCCACGACCCTGTGGAGATGAGTGTGCAGGTCCCCTGAGTCCTCCCCACGACCCTGTGGAGATGAGTGTGCAGGTCCCCAGTCCCTCCTTCACAACCTTTGCACCAGGTGCGTTTTGCAATTGAGAATTTTTTCCCAGAAAAGAAATGCAGTGCATCGACCACATAGTGTGTAATGCCTGCAGTTTAAATATGGTTTTGCGGAACAAAAAACGAACATATCTGCAACTAAACATGCATAGTCACACTTCAAAAAGGATAAGCAATCTCAAAGCAGTTAAAGATAATCTGTTACAGGATTCCAAGGAATTTTTGTTTTGGGATTTAGAAATTATAGTTAGTGGATGTGGACAGGTTATATTTCAGGGGTGGGAAGTGAGGGACAGAGAAGTTCAGTTACTTGCAGGGGACAGAGCTAGTGGGAGGTGACATGGAATCGGAACCTGCTCCCGTGAGGGGCGTGGGAGGGCTGCAGCCTCTGGGGTTCGGAGGGGTGCGGTGAACTATCACGGACGCCGTGGCCTCTGAGGGTCTCATGAAGCAGTAGGTGGGGCTTTAAGAGGAGGACTTGGGGTGGGGAAAGGCCTTCCTGGGGGAGGGAACATCCTGGGCAAATGCTGGAAGCGGGTAAAGTATTTTCCCAGCCTCCCGAAGGGGTCCTCACTGCGGCTGTCCTTGTCCCTTCAGGATCCCCTCCGCAAGCGCTGCTCCCTGAGGCGGCCCCTGGCCTTGAGCAGCGTGGCCCCGCCCTGCGAGGAGGAGGAGGAGGAGGGCCCGAGAGCCCCCGAGCTGCCCGCCTGCACCCCGGCCTGTGCTGTCCCCCAGGAGGGCCTGGCTCCTAGCACCGGCCCCAGCTCCAGGAGCCCCCCGGGCCAGCTCAGTGAGCTCCCCACAGAGAAGCACAGGCCCACACCCGGCAGCCCGCCTCGCTTGCCCAGCCAAGGGCTGCTCCAGGGTGGGAACGGCAGGTGGAGAGGCGCAGAGGACAGCCCGGCCGTGGACGGCGGCCCAGAGGCCGCCAGGACGCCCGTGAAGTTCTTGCCAGGTGGGCATGCCAGGACGACCCAGGAGAGGCTGGAGAGAGCGTTCAAAAGGCAGGGGAACCAGCCCGTGCCCCTCAGGTGAGCATACGGTGCCCAGGTGGTGCTTGCTAGAGAACCGTCGGGTCCCCCGTGGCTCTTTGGGCTCAACAAGCATGGCTGTGAAGTAGGGAAGGAGATTGTGGCCATTCTGTTGGGGACAAAACAGCCCAGAGAGCGCACACGCAGGAACCCGGAGGGAGGGGTCCTTGGCCCTTCTTGTCGAAGTCAGTGGGCTTCAGCAGATGGTCCCACGCAAACCTGCAGCAGCACGGCCAGGCTGATGTGGCCTTGGAGACGCTCCTGTGGGAGGCAGAGGCAGGTGATGGATCAGCCCCCAGGCTCCTGCTGGGCCAGTTTTTATACACTGTAGACCTGGATGTTTCCTACAGTCATTGATTTTGAATATTAAACTATCCTACATTCCTGGGACAAACCCACTTGGTTATGACATATGATCCTTTTATGTATCGTTGCGTTCAATTTATTACTATTTTGTGCAGGCTTTTGTGAAGGAGCATTTGGTAATTTTCCTTTCTGGTAGTTCCTTCATCAGAGTCTGGTGTCTAGGATAAGCGGAAGCGATCCCTCTTTTTCCTGTTCTGTTGAAGGGTTAGTGACACTAAAATTGGTGTTAGTTCTTCCTCAAATATTTAGGAGAATTTACCAGTGAAGCCTTCTGAGCACTGAGTTTAAATTATGGATTCAATTGAAAAAAACTTTTTTAATTCAGACTTTCAATTTCTTTGTTTATCCATTTTGCAAGTTGTATTTTTCCAAGGACTTTTACCTGTGTTTTAAATTTACTGGTATAAAACTGTAAATATAATATCCTCTTATTATCACTTAAAGTCTGTGCAATCTGCAGGACTGTCTCTGTTTTCATCCCTGATACTGGTAATTTGAGTTTTCCCTGTTTGACTAGTTTTACAAGGGGTTTATCAGTTGTGTACTATTTTAAAGAGCTAACACTTGTTTTTTTGTGTTTGTTTTCTATTTCATTGATTTCCACTCTTATTGTTATTGTTTCTTTCTACTTTCTTTGAGTTTAACTTGCTATTTTCTATTTTATCGATATGGATCTTAAATACTTGATTATCAGCCTTCTTCTTTTGTAATCTTTTAAGGGTACACATTTCCCTCTAAACAATGCTTTTTCTGTATCCCATGTGTTAATAGGTTATATGTTCATATAATACAGTTAGAATATTTTCTAATTTCCATTGTGATTTTTTTCTTTTGACCCATGGGTTATTTAGACATGTATTGATTAATTCAAAGCATTTGGAGTACTTTTCTGGTTATCTCTTTGTTTTTTATTGCTATCATTTCCTCTTTGGTTATATCTACTCTGTATGATTTCAATCCTTTGATATTTGTTGAGATTTCTTTATAGTCCAGTACATGTGTAAAGTTTATCGCCTATAAACAGCATACATTTGGAATTTTAATTCCATATGATCATTTTAAATTTTAATTGGAATAAATATTACATTTACATTTCCCTTTTGCTCGAAGAACGCTCTTTAGTATTTCTCTAGCAGGTGTGTTATAATACATTTTTTTCAGATTTTGTTTGGAAATATCTTTATTTTGCCTTTATTTTTGAAGGCTGTTTTCAATGGGTATAGAAGTCTAGATTGGTGCTTTATTTTTTTTTTAGTACTTTAAGTATGTCATTCCCTTGCCTTAGGCTTTTGTCATCTCTTTTGATAACTCAGTTGACATTTTTATTGTTATTCCTTTGAAAGTAATGTGTATTTTTTTATAAACCCCTGGGTGCTTTTTTCCTCCTGGCTTCTTTAAGATTCTCTCCTTTGATTTTCAACAGTGTTACTATGATGTGCCTAGCTATGGTTTTCTTTAATGATTCTGCTTGGTGTACATAGAGCTTCCTGAAGTTGTGGACTAGCGCTTGACATTAGTTTTGAAATTATTGTCTACTCTTTTTTTCAAAGTTGCTTTTTGTCCCATCTTCTCTTTTCTCTCCTGGGACTGCCATGTAGGAATAATTAGACATATGGGTGAACAGAAATAAAGTCAACCCTAAAAGAAATACTATTATTATCCCCACTTGAACGATGAAGACACTCAGAGAAGTTGCTTTCCCTGCCCAAGCTTATACACTTAGGAGGCAGAGCAGGGCTAGAACCCAGGACGCTAGCTCCAGAGCCTAGTGAGACGCGAATGAATGGTCACTTCTGTCCTGAGTGGTGATCTTTCCACAGCCCCAGAGGGGGACTGCTTCAGCTGGAATGCCTCAGTGATGGGGAGCGCCCTGCCCCCCACGGCACTTCTGACTAATTCTGACTATCAGGAAATTCTTCACACTGCCTTAAATCCTGCTTGCCTGTGGTTTTTCCCAGGGGGCCTTGTTTTGCCCTCCGTTCCAGAACACGTGTACCCTGGAAAAGGAAACAGTGTTTCAAACCTACTGGTTTTCAAGAGATGGTGGGTGGAGCAGAAAGAAGAGTGGATGGCGTGTCAGGAGGCCTGGGTGCCAGTCCTCGCTTTATCCCAGCTGACCTGGATCGGTCATTTTGTCTCTGGACTTCAGTGTCCTTGACTGTAAAATATGGCCACTGGGTAGATGATTCCAAGTGTCCTTCCAGCTCATGCATTTTGCTGGCCTAGGATTGTTTCTTGCTTCCAGAGTTACTCTAACACATCAAATATTTACGGAGTAGCTACTGTTTACAGGGCACGTAGGAGATGTGGCACATGAGCTCGGGAGTCTAGCAGACCAACTGTTCTTTATGACCGCTGTGCCCTGGACAGTTATTACATCCTTGAAAGGTGGGATGGACTTCTGTGTCTTAGAGGAAGTGGGTAACAGGTGGAAGCTTCCACAGCCCCCCCGCCAATGCCAGATGAAGTACAACCAGGGTGTTTAATAGTGTTGACCTTCATAGTGGTCGATCAACAAACATTCTGGGGGCCTTGGTTTTTACTTAACACGATTCCCTATGTGTTGGGCACCATGCTAAGCACTTGTGTATATTATCTCATTAGCTCGTTATAATAATCCATTGCAGTGGATGTTGTTGTTTTCTGTTTTCATTAAATAGTATTGTCCTCCTACTCCGGAGTTCTGAACACACTGACAAATAAAACGGTATCAGTTAGATTGCGTGAAATGAATGTCATCTCTGTGACTGATAATGGGAAGGCAGAGGTCATAGCAAGTCATGAGACCTGGAGCTAGACAGGAGCTAGACCTCATCTCAGGCCCAGGGCAGGTCACCTCACAGGGTCACATGGTGGGAGGGGTCAGCTCCTAGAAGAACAGCTGAGCCTAACTTTCCCCTTTTCTGTCTTTCTCCGGTTAGCCAGTCAGACAAGTCCTTAGGATGGAGAGAATAAAGGGGAGAAGATTAAAGGTCTATATGGGGGGAGGTGGAGGGTAGGGTGTGTGTGTGTGTGTGTGTGTGTGGCAGAGACCAGAATAGCTGCCTCCAAACTCCCAGAAGGCAGGGCTTTCTTGCACACATTTGCATACCTTGCGACCACTCCCCCACACACCTGGTCCAGAGTAGGCCCTCAAGAAACCTTAGGTGCAGGACTAAGGGCAGGGAAGAGGTGCTTCTTTGTTTGCAAGTCCCCAAAGCTAGGGGTTCTGAGCCTGGTGGCTCCCCGAGTGGCCTTCATGAAGGTTGATCAGCAGAGTGAGGCGCGTTGAGGATGCCGGGCTGTGGGATCTGCCGTGGGGGCTCCAGTGAGCTCAGGTGGTTGTTAATTTCGTGAACATCAGTGGATTTCACCCTGGGGAAAGTGGGTGTCTTCCAAGACTACAAGCTTGAAGTATGATAGAGTCCACGGACTTGAAGTTTAATTTGGGGGGTTTTTAAAGAGATTCTTTAAATTGGGTGTTTCTGAAAGCAGAGCAGACTGGATGCTCCCATCTCATCCTTAACCCCGCAGACGGTCAGGGCTGGAGAGGTCCTTAGAGGTCGAGCGCTCCAGTTGGGGGCAGGGCAAGTGACTCACCTGAGCTCTAGCAGGTGTTGTAAAGTCCTTTGTAAGCTCTGCTTTCACTGCCTAAGTAATGTTTAGAATGTGCGCTTTAAATACATATATTCTTTCTCTACTCAATATCAGCCTCCAGCACAGTTGTCACCAATCAACATTTGATGTCCTGTTTTTCAGCAGTAACTCCCTTGGTTTTGGAGAAACTTGATTTCAGACCCCGGGTTCCTAGAGTTATGTCCTCAAAAAGGCCCTGTCAATTCACAGAAATAACCATTTATTCAACAACTCTTTAATGAAAGCTGATTGTTAGTGTCTCTTCCCAACTCTGTGTTCGGTGTTATCAAGGTGCTAGCTTGAGACTGGTCATGGTAGGAATGTTTACACCATGGAAATTGGCAAATGCTGCCAGTCAGCATCTCCCTCCCTGGAGAGCCAGTGTTCATGTCCACCAGTGCCCCATCTGTGATGCCTACGGTGTGCACGCCCCAGCCCTAGCCACTGGGGATTCCATGTGAACGGAGCAGACCAAGTCCCGGCCCTCTGGGAGCTTGCATTGCACAGGGAGAGAGCCCAGAACACCACCACACACGGAAATGTATGACAGCAGAGTGCTACGAGGGGGGACAAATCAAGGAAGAATGATAGGGGCCCTGGCTGTGGGGCTGCTGCTGTGCAGAGGGTAGTCAGGGAAACCTTTCTGAGAAGGTGACACTTGAGAGGAGACCAGAAGGCAAACAGGGAATCAGCCTTTTGACCGCTGGGAGCAAATGCAAAGAGAGAGTAGCCATGCACAGGCCGAGCAGCGGGAGCACGTGCTTCTTCCAGGCTGGAGTGGATGGGGGAGCGGAGGAGGGGGAGGGAGGTGAGGGTCTGGGGACTCTGAAAGCCCTGGAGTTTACTCTGAGATGTGTGGGGTCCCCTGGAGGCCGAGCAGAAGCATGCATGGTTCAACTCATGTTTCCGTAGGACCCCTTGACTGCTGGATTGAGAAGGGACTCAAGGCCACAAGGGTGGAGGCAGGGAGACAGTCAGGAGGTGGTTGCAATAGTTTAGAGGAGAGTTGATAGTGGCCT